AACGATGTATATTATTCAGCATTACCAAAAAAAGAGTGTGAAAGGGTTCTTGACAGTGATAAAGGGAATAAGCTTTTAATAGTTAGCGATTTGTTTTATAGATTCAAATACAATACTTTAACAAAAGGTGCCAAATAATAGCAAATTTGCAATTACATTGAATATTTCCAGTTACACAAACATTAAATGAAATTCAATTTTGTTTGACAGGTTAATTAATGTTCTTTTAAATAAATAAATCTCAACATTCAAGAATGTAATAGGACTAAAAATATCCTTATTAATTACGATATGATCCTAAGTATATCTTGCAGTTAGGACAATGATGTTCTACATCCTGGCATTCTGGAATACAGCATGGAATCAAGCAACATCCAAGCCAGCACCTATTAGATATTAAAGATATAAACAAAGATTTATCTTTTTATTGTGTCAGTTGAGTCGATTTTCTTACTGATATAAAGTACATGAAAAGCAAAAACTATCAATTGTAGATGAAATATGTAAAGAGCTAGTAATACAGTTAAACATCTAGGGTTATTCAAAGCAGACAGTGTGAGACCTTGACTTTCGTTTGATCCATAATAAATGTAGTATAAAAGTTACAATAAATAACATGAACAAGACTGAATTTCAACTCGACAGTAGCTGTGCATTTCAGATGTCCAAATTAGACATACCAATGTTTTACTGTATTTAAGTACAAGTGAATAATTAGCTGTATTTAATTTGTTAGCTCAACCTATCTATTTACATTTGAAACATGGAACTTACCTTAAGGAAATTTTTTTGCTCCCGCCCTCTTCACGAAAATTAGGCAGTGTAAAAAGGTAATTCAGGTTGAGGGGAGTGGAATACCCTAGGTCATGTAGGGGAAATCAAGGAATAAGGTCAGATAAGGAATCAAAATACACAAACCACATATCCGCCAGACCCCATTGAAAGGGATGCATGTATAGAGAGAAGCCATAGTCCCCAAGTAAGAAAATTTCTCATGCAGAAAAAGAAAAGTGAAGAGCCTTTCATACCAAGATCTCCATGTGTGAAGACATAGGGGAGATGGTAGAGCTCAACCCATACGAGAAGCAAGAAAACTCCCAGGAAGATGTTAAAGATACAGGGGATTAAAGGGAAAGGGACAAGTCAGAGGGCGAGAAGAAAGGAGAGATGGAGTATGAAAAGCAGGGCCAAACCTTAAGAAAGAACTTGCACAGGGTCGCTGGAGAGGTAAGACTATAGGTGTGAAAGGGTAGACAGATAGGCACTGAAGTTTCCAGAGCCAACAACTGGCTCTAAAGAAGCATTGGCCCTGAATCTCAATGGTCCACCTTGTGGAGGGGGAGAGGAGAGAGAACAGCAAGTGGAATCAAGAGAATGATGGAATCCTGAAGCAGGCAGCCAACTGAAGTATTTTTGGTCTAGTGAGACAGGAAACTACCAAATGAAAAGAATATTGTTGGTGAGTAGCCTCAGCTTGAGATTCCAAGAAATTGACAACATCCCCATAGGTGGTGCAATGAGAAAAGGAGAAAGACAGAGGTCAAGGAGAGAGAAGGAAAAGATGTGGACACTCAAAAAAACATACAGACCAAGGAGATCCCAAGAACAGAGAATCCAAGGGGGACAACAAATAAGATTGGGTGTTCCCCTCAAAACTATGAGAAACCACAGTGAGGCAGTGAAGGGTGGAAATATAGCAAAGGGTTAAAAATAAGACAAAGACAAGCGGATTGCAGGAAAGAAAGTGAAAAAGAAGTTCCCCAATTAGACAGAAATAATATAAGTTTGGGGTTTAAGAAATACAGAAAGGTTATGACCAAAATACAGGGTGGCCCAAAGAAAGTATACTGAAATAACATACACCCATAAACATTTTATTTCTTCCTATTTCAGTTATTATATAAAATAAAATCCTTGAAGTCCTACTCTTTACACCTTACTTAAGTATGTAATAGTGTTTTTATACAAACTTACGTTACACAATATATTCTAAATTATTTCCATTACTCTCAATACGTGCTTCGAAATGCTCCTGCTCAAGCATCCAGTTTGCACATGGTTGATTATTTCTACCAAATACAATACTCGTAAAATAATATTCTCCTAGAAAAATATTTTCTTCAACATTAAGCTATGGCATTTTAGGGTATAATTTCCAAAAGTAAAACATAAAATGACAATTGCATCAGTCAGTACAGTTCAATGTCCCTTGGCTACAACACATACTTCTGATTTCCTCACTTATTCTATTACATCATACAGAATATGGGTTATTATACACTGAAATGAAAGAGCCTTTGAGCATGTTTCTTTTCTTTGGTGTACTCTATTTTGGGTTAGTTATGATGTGTTATTCTTATTAGAGTACACTTTTTTTGGGGGCCACCTTGTATTTAAAAGGAGTCACAAAGGTTAAAATTTTTTTACACTGAAAATGTATTTCCGATAGGTACTTGTCTCCTCTCACACAAAAGGCTATCTCGATTGTTGACTGCCCTCTAAGCATAGCTAAAAATATTTTAGCAATCAGTACACTAGTCTTTATATCTCACCAGCTTTGCGCAATTTCTAAACATGTACATATGTGATTACTCTTCACCAATACTATTGTGCCACCTATAATGGTGCAACTAACTCCCTCTGCTATTCTCACTCAATCTTCACTTTCGAGAATTGGCAGATACTAGAATAAAAACACTGGCTTTAGTGGAGAAGAAAAATTGGAAGTGTGTGAGAGAGGAAGTAAGTACCTATCGGAAATAAATTTTCAGTGTAAAAAATGTTAACTTACGAAACGGACCTTCCTCTACTCACACAAAAGGCTACAATCCCACATTGCCAAGGTGGAGGGACAGTGTAGGCGCACAAAAACAAACCACGCAGAAAGTGACTTCCCAAAATGAACGGGTGTGCTCAGAGATAAAATGAAGCACATCTGTGGGGTACCACACTTTTTCTGGAACATGTAGACTCTTCGCTCAGGAATTAGGAAGGTAACATAAAATGGGCAGAAAAGGTAATGCTTGCACAATTGTAAGAGCATTAAGAAGGTGCAAGCTGTATCAACCTATAACGAGATAAAAACATATAATGACAACAGTAAATAGAGCACTGTATATCAAGCAACCGGAATTTCGGAAGTGAGCAGTCATAACTGGACAAACTTCCAAAACCACCATGAGAGCAAGAAGTCGGGCAAAGTCATATCTAACTCAACCATAAATGCAGGATAGAGACATCCTGTATCCAGAATTACGATGCGAACAAGCAGAATTCGCCCAACCATAAGAGCAGAGTGCAGATGTCCTGTTGCTATTATTATGAAGCAGAAAAAGTCTCTCAAACCCAACCCTAGAAGCATGAAACAACCTTCTATAACCAGAATTAACGAGAAGAGAGGCATCTACTACACACAATCATAGGAACAGGACAATGTCTTCCTGAGCCAAAAATTATGAGGAGGATCCCATATGAGCTGGCCTCAAATAATATTTGATCATTGTATTTACTGAGTACGGTCTGCCCAGGCACAAAACATCCAAGGGCAGCACAAGTAGGGAACCAGCTTTGTCCTCTTCTACTGAGTGGATAAACAAGCATAAGTATAATAACATTCAGGAGAAAGTCTCCATGGTCAATGATCCCAGCATCTGGGAACTGAGAGTGGTAAGGACTCCCATGCTCCACTCAAAGAAAAATGGGATAAAAAGTTGGTGGGGAGTACAGATGAATGTCACACAGGTGACAAAAATGGGGTGTTTCTGTAAGACCACTGTGTGCTTTCATGGTGGTTGTTTGTTTATATTTATGTATTATAATTATGTCTTTAGTGAACCACATTACTCATGGACTTTTGCACATTTACTCATTAGTAAAGCAAAAGGATTTCTGCCCATCCCTGCTGCTCTTTTTATTCCTTAATTAGGTTTATTCTGCTTTTCAAAATATAAAAATGCAACCACCCATTGCACAACTGTGAGTGTTGTATAATTACTGCATTTAGTGTGGGTATGAGGCAAAGCATACATGATCAAGCAAAACCCACCAGTAGGTGGGAACATAAAGAAGCTTAGGGAAGCTTAAAATGAAACATAAGAGAAATGAAATGAGAAGACTTACCCCAGTCAAAGGGAAATAAACGTGTGCATAATCACCACAGAAGAAAGATGATATTCACTACAGGAAGAAACAGCCTGATCATGCAGATATAGAGTGATAAAGGTATTGGGAGTTGTCCATATACCAGCCTGAATAATTTCCTCGAAGGGGAGGCAAAGGTGAGCAACTAAAGACATAGTATTGTCATGAATGTGACGTGAAGAGACCTTGTAGAGATGCCGACTTTCCATGGACAAGTCCGAATATGCCATCCTGATGAGTTGACAAACTCAACCAGTGAGAGTTACTGGGGACAGATCATGGGAAACAGAAGGGTTCCAAGAAATAAACAGTCGGGAACGTGAATCCTGAAAGAAGGCAGTACAAGCCACGTAACAACTTAAGGATTAAACCAAACAAAGAAGCCTATCCGGATCAGAACAGGAATATAGTTGGGAAATCGAAGGTAAGGAAATGGATGTGAAAGTCAAGCCACTTTCCTGGGTTGCATATGTGTTAGGCAGGAAGGACCAGTCAGGGTAGAGATTCACAAAAGAGGAATGGTGAAGGGTACAAGAAACATTAATGGCATAAATATCAGAATGATGGCATTCACAGGCAAGTAGGAGAAGGAAAATAGATCTTAAGAAGAAGAAGGTACAAGGAACATATAGCAAGTGGTTCAAAGGGAGTATGAGAAAGGGCATGAAAAACTACATTAAGATCCCAATTTGGTAAAACATAGGGATGTGGAGGACGAGCAATATGGAAGAAATGAAAAAGACAAGGGAGGAGAAAATGTTACTGAACTTGGAAAAATGGAAGGTGTTCAATAGGGCTGCCTGATAACTAGACACAGTCAAAATGGTCAGGCCCTGGTCAAACAACTAGGTGAAGAATTGGGAAATCTGAAGAACAGAAGGACGGGAGAAGCAGAAGCCATGGCAGAGAGACCAATGCCATTGGTAAACATTCAAGGGAGAAAGTCTGATGGTTCAGGAACAAAAATGTCGCTACATGAGGAGTCAGTTCCTGGGCTGAGGAAAGAGACCAGACAAAAGCCAAGCATGAAGATGTAGTTTGGTAATGTCAGGATAAACTATGGCCAATCGAGTTTGACAGAGGACAGACTGAGACAGAGGTAAGGGCAGGGTGTGTTGTAAAAATAAAAGCCAAAGCAGAGGGAACAAAGGCTGTGAAGGCCAATATGGAGCAGTCAGCAGGACGAGACAAGGAGTGATCTAGATGAGGAATATAACTTTGGATAGGAGTCATATCAGAGGGCAAG